ACTTGTTGCGCTTGATGCAGAACTAAGAATCAGATTGGTTATGATGACATCTCCTCTCACCCCTTGCAGAAAGGGGCAAAAGTTCCCCAATCTCTGCATCACTTTCCATTTTACATGATGCGTACATCTTCTCCCCATTGAAAAGCCAAAATTGGTGGATTTGTCCATCCCTACCAGGGAGTAAGGGACGCAGGTGGCGCTGTGGTCTAAACCACTGACCCACTTGGGCTTGCCAATCAGAAGTTTGGCGATTTGAATCCCCGCGACGGGGTGAGCTCCTGTTGTTTGGTCTCAGCTCCTGCCAACCTAGCAGTTCGAAAGCACACCAAAAAGTGCAAGTAGATAAATAGGCGGGAAGGTAAACGGCGTTTCTGTGCGCTGCTCTGGTTTCGGTGTTCCATTGCTCCAGAAGCGGCTCAGTCATGCTCTGGCATTCTGACATATCTTCGAAGGATAAGTGACCCAGATGAATTGGAAGAAGACATTAGGGAAGTCACTATAAATGGTCACCATTTGCTCTTATAAATCTGAAATGTTGCATTTGATTAAAAGAAAAGAAAGATGGACTAAAAACAATAACAACACCGGTCCCTATTTCTGTCTTTCCTTGTTTATTGTTTATGCAGTGGTAGGAAACAGTCCCCCCCCCCCAAAAAAAGTGTGCCTTCCATCTCTTTGTTAACAGAATCCTGTTTCCAATTTTCCACTTAATCTCAGAGTGACAATGCTCTGAGCAGGGGCTAAATGGAAATCTTAACATCCTAGCACATGGGTAGGCAAACTAAGGCCCGGGGGCTGGATTCAGCCCAATCGCCTTCTAAATCCAGCCCACGGATGGTCCAGGAATCAGCGTGTTTTTACATGAGTAGAATATGTGCTTTTATTTAAAATGCATCTCTGGGTTATTTGTGGGGCATAGGAATTCGTTCATTTTTATTTTTTCCCCCAAAATATAGTCCAGCCCCCCACAAGGTCTGAGGGACAGTGGACCAGCCCCCTGATGAAAAAGTTTGCTGACCCCTGCTCTAGCAGGTTGATATGGGGGGGAAATGATCCGTAAGAACTGAGTGTCAAATCACGAATGGCTTTAAAAGTTAAAACCAGCACATTGACTTTATTTATTAATTTCATTATTTAAATTTATATACCGCCATTCATCCAAGGATCACAGGGTGGTTAACAACTTGAAAAGACAAAAATACATAACATAGTAACAGACCAAAACAACAAATCCCCTACACAGTTTAAAATGCCAAATGTCACTTATCTGTTGATCCAGTCACAAACACTGTTAAATGAGAATTATGACTTGACAATGCCATACTGCAAGCTGTTCCCTGAATACATCTATAACAAGACTATTTTTACAGACTACCTTTGGAAAGTTTGCATGTCTGTAGGTCTCTTCTATTCCTCTCTTTTTATCAGCTTTTTAATCTAACCCATACCTGAGTATTTCAACAGAATGATGTTGTATTTCTGCAAGCCATCTGTCTTACAGGCACTAACTCAGTGAAATCATGTCTTCTGAGCACAAGCATATTTAAATAAAGGGAACTGCTCCATCTAGAGTTACATCTTGCACACAAAAACTACGTAACGTGCTTAATTAATAACTATACTGTATTTAATATTTTTTGCAAGCCTGCTTTCCTAAGCGTCTGACATACAGGACCTGTAATCAATGAAAAAATAAAGCAAAAGTAGGACATACAACAGCAGACTAGAATCAACACTGAGAAAATAAAGCAGTCTTGCTCTGCTGTAGGAAATTTTGTATTCAGTGAGAAATATTTATTTTCGTCTCAATCGGGTAAAGTTTTATTGTTTACTGCCACTGTTTTTCATGTGGCACCTTCTAGAAGTTGGCTAGTTCTGGGCTAGAGTATTGGGCTTGGCAGCAGACATGAGGAGGTCAGAGTCAGACCCTCCACGTGTCCCTATTTTCCAGGGATGTCCCTGATTTAGAGAAGCCGTCCCGGTTTCTGATTTTATCCCAGAATGTCCCGCTTTTCCTTAGGATGTCCCTATTTTCATTGGAGAAATGTTGGAGGGTATGGAGTCATCCAACCCCCAAGCCATCTGAAGGCAACCCTGTATGGGGAAGGTTTATTTTTTAACGTTCAGTGTTTCATTATTATTTTATATATGTTGGAAGCTGCCCAGAGTAAGATGTGTGCGGTATAAATAGTGAAATTATCATTATGGAATGGGACGTTCCTATTTTCATCAGAGAAATGTTGGAGGGTATGTGAGGTAGCATGACACACAAAAAAGAAAATTATTTGGCGGGATAAAGCAAATAAGAAAACATAGGCACTATTTTTTTGAGAGTTTTGCAAAGACCTGCTGGAATTGATAGATTTCAAGGGGAGAAGCCAAACAGTACTGGTTTTTCAAGGGGAGGGAAAGAGAGAGATGGCCTTGCAATCTCAACTTGCTCCATCCCCTATAGCCTGTAGACGATGCTGTGGCCTGGCTTCCATCAGCTTCAGTTATACACCTGCCACTTTCTGGATTCCTTAACTGTTCAGTTAAGGGTAAAGACTCCAATGTGGGTAAATGACTGCAGTTATCAGCTGTTCCAAACTACCATGAAAATAATTGGGAAGGGTGCATGTGATTTGCTCAGGGATGGTCCTCCAGATGTTGTTGGACCATCTCCCATCAGCTCCAGCCAGCATAGCCAATGATCAGGGGAGTTGTAGTCCAATCAACAACAGGAAATCTACAGCTTCCTCACCGCTGCACTAACACTTTCAGTAATACCAGTGAATGAGTACACTTACAAAAGAGTGGTAAAACATAGTGGGAGGAAACAGCATTCCCCAAACATGGGTTCAAGAGGGAGAAGTAGCAGACACATGCTATTCCTGTATCTAAGTTGAAGATCCTTACACTTATGTCGCTGGATATGCCTGGCTCCAACTTAAGTGAGATGCTATCATATAAATATTTTGCCCAAACAATGGCCTTGTATTTAGGTCCCTTGTGAACTGTGCTTTGACTTCTAATACTGTCTGCACTACTCATTCAAACGCAGCATCTTTCAGTGAGACAATACTCAGAAATACGGTACATAATGCAAGCCCTACTAATCTCAAACAGATCTTGTACTGGTTTCAGCACATTCCCACAACATCTGGAGCTGAGAAATGTAGAAATTCCAGGTCACAAAAACAATACAGAGGTTCCATGTTCAAACTCCCACAATACCACTGATGTGCTCTAAAATCCCAATGGAAAATTCAAAAGTTTGAAGTTACAGAAGATTCTCAAAATGCATGTTTGCATTTATTCCATTTATTTCCTGTACTTTATGGTGTAGTAAAGTGGAGTGCTGTACTTAAATAGCAGGTATTCCTTTTAAAAGATTTTGTTTACCAGCAGAATCTATTAAGTATCTTGCAAAAGCAACAAGGCTTATATTCTCATACTGCTCTGAAAAGAGTCTCGCATATAACTGATTGAATATATTTTAATACTTGCATTTTTCCTACCAATTAACAAACCATTTACAAAACCTTCTTTGGCACCATGAGCTCAATTTTCTGCTAAAATGCTAGCTTTTTCATTTGGAATTTTGGGCACATCTTTCAATGAAGTGAATGCGAGATGAATCAAATGTGCCAGCCATAGGCAAATTGGGGTTCAACTATGGGCACAGAGAAACATCACCAACATCACTGGAGCCAGAGTTTCCTGCTGCCATCACCATTGCTGAACTTGCTGTTCCCTTGGGGCGCATATCACAAGAGCCACTGTTGTTAGAGCAGGCATAGGCAAACTTGGGCCTCCAGATGTTTTGGGACTACAACTCCCATCATCCCTGACCACTGGTCCTGTTAGCTAGGGATGATGGGAGTTGTAGTCCCAAAACATCCGGAGGGCAAAGTTTGCCTATGCCTGGGTTAGAGTGTTGGACTAGGCCCTGAGTGCAGTGATAATCTCTCTACTTGTGATTCCAGCCTTTCAAACAGAGGGAAGTCCACTGTAAAGAAGGCAACAAGGACAACCTAAAAAGGAAGCTTGAATTGCCAGTCCTATTTGCACCTCAGATAGGCCTGTGGCACATGAAAATCTAGCTCCCATCCCTAATAGTCAGTGACCCTTCTAACTCTCCATTAATATATTTGTTGTTCTTTGCAAGTACTGAGATTCAGTTTCATTTTCCTGGCTGACGCCCACTTTCCCTGAAAACCATTCAGTACTTGGGGGTTTGACAGACATATAAAGATAAGAATTCCTGCACAGGAAACGACTCGTTATCAGACCTTCTGCCTTTCAACTGTTTCTTAATTCAATACTCCCACTTTGTCACTGTTTCATTCAATCTCTTTACTCTCCATAAAAATGTCTACCTGTCTATTACATTCATTTATACAATTTGCAATGATAGGTTTAATTTACTCCAGATGTTGGCTGTGCTTTCAGGAAAATAGCTATGCCTTCAGATCCTTGTTTTCTCATAATTATGTGCCATTGTATCACAGTTCCATAACGATGTCTACTCGCAGTTTGTTTATCCAGTCAGCAGCTCTGAGGTTGCTGGGTTTTCTTCTTCTTAAATCACACAAAGGTTTTCGTATTTAAGCATTAACGACTTTGCCTCCAGTTCATTTTATATCAATGTTGTTTAGCAACAATATCTAAAAATGGAAGCAACTAGTTATCAGATGTTGGGAGAAAAGCAACAGAAAACAGCTATTCCTCAATGTCCATATAAGACATCCAATGAGGTTTAATATTTGATGGTGGTATTTTATTTAAAAAGCAAAGGCAGTTGTGAGGGTCCATCAGGAGAAGAAGAAAGTTCACAGTTGGGCAGCCAGAATGTCACAGAAGACTGGGCAAGCTTCTGAGTTCTCCAGAGCACTTTTGACAGACCAGAGAACCAAGAAGTCTGATTTAGGCCAATATATGTGGTGCAGTATCTGCTAAATGCTTCAGGCACCAGGTTATGCAAGATTAGACTGGTTGTTGTAGCCATTAAGGTTGAAGGGCCATAGCTCAGTGGCAGAGCAACTGCTTTGTATGCAGGAGGCCCAAGGCTCAACCCTCAGCATCTCCAGGTAAGCCAGGAGGCCCTATCTGAAACCCTGGAGAACCACTATCAGTTCGCGTGGGCAATACCAAGCTACATGGGCCAATGGTCTGGTTCAGTATAAAGCAACTTCCTATATTCCTATTTAAACTAAGTTGTAAGATGAACTAACTGCAGGCTGAGTTAGTCGCTGCTAGGGGCTGTAGGCATCAGGTTACAGCAAGGATTCAAGGACAGGGAAGCAATGGTTGATCCCCATTTCTTGAAAACATGACTGTTGCTGTTACCCAGATCTGTCTTATATTAATAGTCATTTGGGATGGAGCCATTATTAAAGAAGCAAGATGTAAGGAATCACAATTTTTCTTAGAAGAGAGTTCCTACAGGTGTTTGTAAGACATATTTGGAGTATTATTTTTTCTCATGGGTTTTAGTCCTTGGCTGTTGTGATTTTGAAGATGAAGCTCTGCAACAGGAATTACTCACTTGATTGACAAGGGACTTTTCCCCCTAATCAACAACCAGCTTTTTCTTTTTGCTATTAACTTGTTGAACCTCAGTAGCTTATTCTTCAGCCTACTTAGCAGGCACCTGTTACAAACAAGAATGTAAGTGAAGCCTCAGCCCACCAAGTCTCAAATCTTGCCTTTAACAGTGTGAACTTACAGTTGCTCTCTAGAGAAAATGTATAGCTGCATCAGGCATTCTGAAATTACACCATAAATCACACCAGGTCCTGCCACTCACTCATAGCTTCCAACAGGCTAGGGTTTCATGGAACTCTCAGCAAGAGGCTGTTTCCTTCCCTTCTTAGTCATGTGCTACTATTGATATTCTTGTCTTACTGTTATTAATCCTCTGTGAATTTGGAGAACATCTTGAACTCCAGATGAGGAGCCAATGGCCACTAGCCTTTTGGAGAAACCATTCCTCTCTTCATGAAAGTGAATAACAACTCCCTGAATAATCAAGCGAGAAGTTGTATTCACACTGTCAGCAATGTGACACCGGCTAGGAGGAAAAGCGAGACTTATGGGTACAGTAACTGCTTCGCCTCACAACTATTGGACCTTAAGAGTACTGTTTCTATAACCTTGGCAGAGGCATCAAAAGCCTCTGTGCAAGTCAACTGTGCGTAAAGTTCTAGATTTAAATAAATGTCATAATTTCCATGGGCAGTATATCACGCTCTGGTTATATTTTCTGGCAGGGCAAGAAGCTTTTGAAGTTTTCCCATACTCCTCTTGCATGACAGCAATCCCTGAAATAAATGGGTTATCTGCTGAACCAGTACGTTTAGTCTGATTATTCCAGGGATTCCCAAACTGTATGCTGGAGTTGAAGTGTGCCTTGAATAATTGAGATGCCCTCTTGGCTACACTCACCTTCTATGCCTTTTGGAATGGATAAGACCCTTGTGGCACTGATCTAACTCATACTGATAAATGGTTAGTAACATCCTCCCAAGGGCAGGAGGATGCTTACCCCAGAATTCGCAATCCAGCTAAGAAGTTCTGAAGAATCACCGTTTCCCAGAACATATGAGCTCATCCATCCTTGATTCCTCACTGTCTGTGCATAAGGGACAGTGAGACATGGAAGCAAAGAAAACATTTTTGCCCATTGTTTTGGAAGCTGACTTTTCGAGCTAAAATTTTGTATTAATTATTATAATTAATTACTATCTTTATTTATATCCCACCTTTGCCCCAGAACTGGGACTCCAGGCAGCTCACAAAAAATTAAAAGAAACATGGATAAAACACAAAAAGCTAAAAAGTATATAAAAGATAATAGTTTAAAAGTAATTAAACTCGAATTAAAATGATACATTAAAAAGTAAGTTTGTAAAATCTAGTAAACAAGTTCAGTATAAACAAAAGCACAACACTATTAAAATCCCTTTTCTTATAAAGTCAGTTCCCCAAAGGCCACTGGAATAAAATGGTCTTCACATGTCAACAGAAGGACAAGGAGATAGCTAGTCTAGGAAGAGAGTTACAAGTCTGGGAACAGCCACTGAGAAGGTCCTCTCCTGCATCCTCACCAAACAGGCATGTGAGGTTGGCAGGACTGAGAGAAGGATGTCCCGCAAAGATCTCAAAGCCAGGTAGGTCTGTACTGACTGGACTTTGTCCATCACTTTTTCACTGCACCAGTCATGGACTATTGTGGGTGGGGTACACTTCACACTAGCAGACCTTTTATTGCCCCCTCCCCGCCATGAATACACTATTTTGCAGTTTTCCAGCACTCTGTGTATGCATGAAGGTTAGCTCTCAAGACATAGGATTGCGTCATCAGGCACCACTGGATTCCCTCTATTACTTGGTGCCTGCAAAGAACATTGCACAGTGGAGAAAGGTCTATCACTGATACAAGGAATCCTATCCAAAGCTAACTATGGAAAACCCAGTGTGCCTGCTAATCTACCCAAAACTTTTAAAAACAATAACTGGCAATGGATGGAACTGAATGGCCAGAAAAGTGTAAGCATTGATTTGAAAAAGTCTCCCAGTGGTTTTGTCCTTGTAATCATTGGGAATGTATTTTAGGAGCCAAACAGCTACAAACTCCAGCAGGCAAAATACGATTGGAAACAAATTGTCAGCTATTGTTTCAGTCACCCGTTGACCATTATCACTTTTGATATTCATTAAAGTTATGTGTGAAGAAAATGATGGCTCAGTTCTGTTTGGTGGCTTCAGAGGAGCAAGCAGGCAGCAGCTGAGTTAACAGCAGGCTGCAGAACTGTGCTTAGCTGTCAAACAGACTTAGCTTCATTTCATATTTATTGGCTAGCCAGTGAGCTAGCCAAAGCAATGAGATGGATTTTTTTTAAAATAATGAAATCAATTGTAAAGGAGGAGGAGGAAAGCTCCCCCCCCCCAATCTGAGCACTGCACATCTCTGGGAACTGTAATATCCAGCCTAATGATGCCATGGTGGACTCAAAAGCTTGGTCACTATTTTGTTGCATTTTGTATGGTCATAATGAAGGGACTTGGGGGGTTTCAAAATAGAAGTTTAGCCATTTGAGTGCTAATGTAACTGCTCCTTCCCATAGGAGCCAACCCAGGCACTTCAGTCATCATCCGAGACCCTTCTCTGTGCCCCATTTCCCAAAGAAGTGTAGATGGTGGAGACTAAATGGACTTTCTCTGTAATGGCGCCCTGTCTTTGGAACACTTTCCCTAGGGAGGCATACTTGACACCAATGTTACTATCATTTCAGCACCAGATAAAAACATTTCTATTGCCTAATGCTTATGGGAAAGTTTGGTCATCTTTTTGCTACAGTTACTCAATCCAAACTTTTGTTGTTGCAGTTTTACTGCTATTAACCATTCTAAAATATGGTTTTATTATGTTTTACTGCATTACTTATACATTTGGAGGGCTGAATTTGACCTCTAGGCCTGAGATGCCCCATCCCTGATCACAAGCTCTCCATTAATTTCAAAAGGAGAGTTTAGCTAACACCTCCTCTTTTATATGTCAAACATAATGCCATTATACTTCATTTAAAATATTTATAGACCACCTTTCTGAGTAAAATTCTCACAAGGTGGCTTACATAATAGCAGCAGTTTAGGGTGACGGCTTCAAAAACAGAATAATCAGAATAGAATCAAAAATATAATACAGTGCTACCAAGCCACCCATGATACTAATACTGTGTGTGTGTGTTTGTGTGTACTGACCTCAGAGTCCTTTGCAGATTCCAGCAGATCCCTGATCGTCTTCAGCAATGCTTAAGGATGGGGAAGACATTTATTTGGTTCACATTTTTTTTGTTAGAGCGTTTATTAATTTTCCAATAAAAACATCCAATTAACATATCAAATCATAATCCAATAAAAATAAAAAACTAAAATAAAAAAAACCCAATTGTCTTCCGAATTTAGTTCTAATTTTTGCGGCTTCCCACAGCCTGAACTTCAAAGCAACACCAAATCTCAGTTCTGCCTAGATTAAGAAGTACACATATATTAGTGAAATTAATGTATAAAGATGCTTTATAGTAGGAGAAATTGCTGATGGATCTGTGCCTAGAAAAATGTATATATTAGCCAAACGTTTTGCAAAAATCAGTATGAATTTTCCTGCAGGTTTTTTTTTTTTTTTAATTGTAAACTGATGAGCCACACTGAAAAATGAAAGAATGAAAAGAACCAAAACAGAAAGATTCATCCATACCTAGCCATGCACCCAGTGCACCACTGCATTGGCAGTGTTCTGCTGTTATAATGGTTCTGCTGCCATTTCACGCCTCTGAATCAGTGGTAACAGAATGTCTGTGAACATCCTCAGTAGGTCAGTGCTGTGCAGGAGCACCAGATTGGCTCCACCAGTGCATCTTCCTTGCAGCAATCTCCCTGCCATTTTGATCTTCTAGGTACGCAGCAGTGACTCACCTTCCAGGACGCTAGCATAGTGACTCCACTCTACCAGTGAGTTGCTTCTGAGGCTACCATTATGTTAGAATCATAGAATCATAGAATCATAGAGTTGGAAGAGACCACAAGGGCCATCGAGTCCAAACCCCTGCCAAGCAGGAAACACCATCAGAGCACTCCTGACATATGGTTGTCAAGCCTCTGCTTAAAGACCTCCAAAGAAGGAGACTCCACCACACTCCTTGGCAGCAAATTCCACTGTTGAACAGCTCTTACTGTCAGGAAGTTCTTCCTAATGTTTAGGTGGAATCTTCTTTCTTGTAGTTTGGATCCATTGCTCCGTGTCCGCTTCTCTGGAGCAGTTTCTCCACTGCAGTCAAGCTTAGTAGCAATCTTATACCCAACCAGCAAACAACGCTCCTGGATACAACTGCTCTATCAATAAAAAATGATATTACAGAATCATAGATGCAAAACCTGTGTTCTTCTTCTATGAGACCCAAGGAAAGTCCTGTTGGCCATGAATTCTCAACTGTAGATAAGCTCCCACCATGTGCCATGTAGCAAAAAGGAAACAGAGCCGCTTTGGTTTGCAAACACCAGACATTTAAGGCCATCTGCTGCCAT